TCAGACGAGAGAAAGATGGAGACAAAGCTTCAGTGCTGTTCTTTACTCCCTTTTTTCTTACAATGAAGAAATACTACTCAGTTCTGACTACGAACTGATTGCTAGCGCCATCTATGCTGATCTCCTTTAGCAGCCCCCCATTGTTGTTTTCAAGCATACAGCTCACCTTCTCCACACACTTCACTCCCACACCACCCCCGGACCGCAGGCGCCACCACCTAGCGGGTGGGCGCCCGGATAGCATCACGTTGGTAGAGCTGGCGACCGCAGTGTACCGAAGGCTGAGTCCCTGCTGTCGAATCCTGCACTCATCCCCCCACCCTTCCTGTCTATCTTCAGCTGTCACTATCTATTAAAGGCGATTAAAGAAAAGCAAAATCAGCGGTGGTTATTTACCTGTGTGGAGCTACAGGCATCGAATTATGTTTCCAGGTACAGCATATGTGAAAAAAGTTGTATTAAAGCCTTTTCTGTCTCAAGAGGGAACAGTGTGAAGTCTGATAAATGTCCTCAAGTGATGTCACTTGAGTCAGCATCGGTTGGGTCTGGAGACTTTGAAACGTTTGAGATTGAAATAAAATGAAGTAATTCTGGTGGGTGGAGTTAGAAAGATGTAAGCTCACAAGACTTCTGTAGCTGCAGTAACCAAAGATATAAATCATATATACAAATGTCATATATATAACTCATTCTTCATTCGTGTGTGCAGGTGAAGTGTGACCAGTATTGGCCCAGCCGAGGCACAGAAACATATGGGATGATTCAGGTGACCATGCTGGACACTGTGGAGCTGGCTACGTACAGTGTCCGTACATTCGCCCTCTATAAGGTAAGAACTCTACATGTATAATGCGAAGATGGATTATGACAGTGTTTGATAGCAGACAGCACTATAGCTCTTTTCAGACATACACCTTGTAATGTTAATCTAATGGCAATTTAACATGTTGGTCTCCAAGTTGGCTTTGCTTTACAAACCCAAAAACTCTGTCCACTAATTATGTATTATTAATAAAAACAGGCAGCAGAATTCACTATCTAATAACTAAAACGAAAACGACAAATAAGTTAATCGGTTGTGCAGCCTGTAAGAGAACAAAAAGCAGTCTTCTTCCTTGCTATTATAACATTTTTAACTCACTACCCCGTCTCTCTCTCTTTCTTGAAAGAGAGAAAAAGCATCACTACAACATACAGATGAAGCAGGCAATGTGACAAATGTCTGAAAAGGTTGAGAGTCTAAGAAAATAGTGACCAGGTGCTTGAATAGAGAAAATATGAAAACTGTGCTTCACTGAATGTATATGAATATGAATAAAAGTTACCACGCCTTTATTGTAGATCTGATAAAAAATGGTTTGACATTGATAGTGCTTTACCAATGTACTAAGTGCAGAATGTTTCCATTCATCAAGTGCTCTTTTGTACTGCCCTCGCTATACGTGCTGTATCCAGCTTGGCAGTCAGATAAACTCTTTCCAAATATCACTACTCTGAAGACCGTCGTCTCGTTGTCCACAGGTTTATTGAAATATAGGAAAGGTGAAACTAAAACATACAAACAAAGAATAATCAACACTATGCAGCTTTAAACATGTATGAATAAACAACTTAAATATACCAATTCAATCACTCATATGAATTAAATGTCATGGCTTTCTACTGCTTACAAGCTTTACATGTATTTATTCTTATTTAACAAATGTAAATATTTTAACATATCAATTATCTGTTTGTATTTTAGCGTATGAACTTTAAAGGCCTAGGAGCAATGTAGTCATCCATAATCCGTTACACAGCAAACTTAAACATAAACTTCACAAAATGTAATCTTACCCAAAAATA